CATTTATTGCCAGCTGCTGCTCCAGGACTCTGTGCTGAGTCTCGTTTTCCACACCTCAGTCTCTGTCCCCAAGATTCATGCCACTGGGGGACAGACCCCCCCATCCATCCGGGTACCCCATCCCGGCATCAGGGACTCCCTTCCTTGGATTCCTCCACCTCAACACCCTGACCCTGCTGCAGAAGCTTCCCATCCTCGGGCGCTGCACCCCTTGGCTATTACTCTGCAGGCATTTGTTTCCTTTTCTTCCATACTCAATTGGCCAGGTTCTACTCATTCTGCGGCTTATGCATTGCCCTCACCTCTGCAGCAAGGCCTACCTGGGTCTCTTCTCTTTCTTAGATGAGCTCTTCTGTTCTCTCCTAATGAGCCTTCCTGTGTCGCCTTGTCACCTTCCAGAATGTTCTCCATAGTGCCACAGGAAGGCTGTCACCCTCTTCCTTCCTACGCCCTTTCATGGTCTCGCTATAGGTCAGGTTTGAGGCTGGCAGAGCTCTCGGCGACCTGGCCCCTGGCTGCTGCTCCAGCCCTGTCTTGCTGCCCACAGCCAGCGAGGTCCTTGCAGTTCAGGAAGCCAACCTTCCTCTATGCACCTGTGCCCTTGTGCTCCTCTGCTCCTGTCCGGCAAGCCGTGTCCCTGCCCTTCAGCCTGTGGGACACCTATACACCCCGTGGGATTCAATGCGGAAGACCCAGTGTCCACGTCCTTTTCCTTCACAGTCCTCTTCATGGCATAGCTCTGCCTGCCCTTCATTTATCTCTGCCTCAAGACTCAATGTCACCTACTCTGTCACTTTCAAATGCACTCCCACCTCTGACTTTCTTGTTTTTGACATTCTCCCAGCTTCCTGAGGCCCAGGCACCCTCCTGGCCCAACTCCACACACACACACACACACACACACACACACACACACACGCACACACGCACGCACACCCCAAGCCCTGTCCTCATTCCTGATCCAGCCAGCTTTCCAGTCAGTTCTTCCTATGGTTCCTGGCATTCCCTTCTCCATCCTGTCTCCCCCCAACCCTGCTACCTCAGTGTTCTATGGCTGATATTCAAAATGCTTCTTACTTACCTTTGCATTGTCTCCTGTCTGTCCCTGTATAAGTCATCACCCAGCCAGGCCAGAGTCCTTACTGATTTAAGGACAGGACTCATAATTTTTCTAATATGGCCTTTGCATCAATTTGTATTATGTTCATAATATGTATGTGTATCTTCCATTGACCAATCTGGTGTGTGTATGTGTGTACCTATGTGTGTTATGGAGGAATGAACCCAAGACCTTTGCACTGAGTTACATTCCAGCATAACAATCCCCCTCATACACACACCCTTTTAAAAATTCTTATTTTGCCACAGGGTCTCCCTAAATTGCCCAGGACTGACTCCAAATTTCAATTCTTCTGCCTCAGACTCCCAGAGTGCTAGGATTACAGGCATGGCACCACCACACCCAGCCAATCTGATGTTTCTAATCCCAGTTTCCATCTCCTAAATTCCTAGCCATTTCCCATGACCCAATTCCATCATTTTCTCTTCCACAAAGCTTTCTCTGATCACTCCTAGTGAAAGTGTTCTCTTTGAACACCTGAATTTTGTCGATTGAATACTTATTGTATATGTTGCTTTGCATTTCTTACTTCCTGTGGATACAGATTCAATTGTCAGCTCTTTAAAGGCGTGGATTATAAATTACCAGTTTTTGTATCACTTCTCCACTATAGAAGCTAGTAGGATTCCATATATGTAATACATAGCAACTTTATCATGATACATATGACTCACTGTAAAATTCACCCATTAAATGTCTAAACTCAGTGTTATTTTAGTATAGAGTTGTGCCGCCAAACCACAATCAATTTTAGAATATTTGTATCACCCCCCCAAAGAAGCCCCATGTATAGTATCAGTTGGTCCCCTCTCTCCCATTTCCCTAGGTAACCACTGTCCCATTTGTCCATGGATTTACCTATTCTGGATGTAAAAGAAATCAGACCTCTCCTTTGGGGTCTGGCTTATTTCATGTGGCATAATGTTTTCAAGGTTCATCCATGTTGCATGCATCATCTTCATGGGATTTTTGTGGCTGAAGAATGGTCCATGTATAGATCTACCACATTTTATTTATGCATTCACCACCTGATGGATGCTCAGCTGTTTCCGTTTTTTAGCTATCATCAATATGATGCTGCTATGAACATCTGTGCACAAATTTTTGTGTGAACATAAATTTTCATTTCTAGTGTTATATACCTAGGGGTGGAATTGCTGGATCTTATGGGAATTCTTACATTTAACATTTTGAGGAATAGCTAAGTACAGTCTTGCTGTGTAGTTCAGGCTGGCCTTGAACTCACTATGAAGTCCAGGCTGGTCTCAAACTCAAGGTGATCCTCCTGCCTCAGCCTCCAGAATACTAAGATTACAGGTATGTGCCACCACACCCAGCCTGACTTTGATTATTATAGCCATTTTAGTAGGTATGAAGCAGGATCTCATCATAGTTTTGATAAGATGCTTTTGTTTTTTTAAATTACTTATTAGATATTCAGTAAATATTTGTTGGATAAATAATATGTGCATGAAATATGAACAAATAATCTTTTGGACAGGTGGTTTGACTTCTAAATTTATTAATTAGCTAGAAATAAGGATCTTAGGGCCATTTAAAAAATTTTTTGACTTGATTCTCCTGCTTCAGCTTCCCTAGTGCTCAGATTATAGGGATGGGCCACCATACCCAGATTAAATCCAATTTTCTACTGATTTTTTGTTTTGTTTTTTTCTGGTGCTGTGGTCCAAACCCAGGGCCTTGTACATGGCAGGCAAATGCTCTAAACACTGAGCTATACCCTCACCTCTAAAATCCAATCCGTGATCCTCCTGCCTCAGCCCCCCCAAGTGCTGGGATCATAGGTGTGCACCACCACACCTGGCGCTAAAATTCAATTTATAAAAAACAACTTTTGTGCTGGGTGTGGTGGCGCACACCTGTGATCCCAGCACGTGGGAGGCTGAGGAAGCAGGAGGATGGCCACCAGTTTGAGGCCAGACTGAACTTCAGAGTGAGACCCTGTCTCCAAAAAAAGCAACTTTTAATAAAAGTTTTCTCTCTTTTAGATTGACAGTATTATCTAGATGGTATTATAGAAGTACTGATTTGTTGTGAAAATTCGTGTAACTTTGGAGGTTGCAATGTATTTTACACAATAAGCTAAATCACAAGTAAAATTCCAACTTTGATATTGTTCCTACTAAAAACCTATGACTGAACGCAGTCCCCGTTGGAAGCCCGAGACCAGTGCTGGGAGGAGTGTGAACTGTGGCTGCTGTCTGGAAACCTCCTGTCTCTTTAGGACAGAGCAGTCTTCATAAACGCATTTGATAATGCACGTGGGGAAGGGCTGGGGGTGGGGAAGGCCTGGAAAAAACCGCAACCGTTCGAATTTCCCTGGGTAGAATTTGCCTTAGTAAACAGTGGACCCTGGGAAACGGGACAGGTTCAGAAAACTTCATTTGGATGGCTGGAAGTCAGAGAAACAGCAGCTGAATCCGTTGGGCTGCGGTTTAGCCTACTTATCTCCCGTCAGAGGTAATGGTCCAACTGCTTTTCTTTGGTTCTAGAGAGTTCTGTCTTGGCCGGAACCCATCCAGTCAGTCCCTTCCCTAGACAGACACTTGTCAGAAGCAGTGAAAACTACAGTCCAGTTAAAGAAAGGCCTCAAATTAAAACCCACAGTGGGGCTGACCACTTTGGTGTTCAAGGGTTCGAGGAGGAGCCAGTGGGGTGGGGCCAGGGTCAAAGGTCACCGTACCTAGAGCCTGGCCAGCTTTCTGCCTGTGCGACATCATCTTGCCTAATTCTATAGTCCTATGCTCTGCCCTTTCAACTTTAGAATTTGGGGTGTTGGTGGTGTTTATTTTCAACAAGCTCCACCATCCTTATCTTTCTGAAGATGCTCCTAAAGTCCCCACGCACAGCCCGTTTCAGAACCTGGGGAGGAAGAGATACCAGCTGGAACCAGGTCAGCCAGCCCCTCCATGGAGGAAGCACAGCCGGGCCTGTTTTCCCTGAGCTCCGGATAACTTGGGCGGAGGCTGCGAGGGCGACTGGAGCCGCGGGGATGGAGAGCGGGTCGGAGGAGGGCTCCTGCTTCCCAGCATTGAAACAGGAGCCCTCTGAGAGAAAGAGATATTGCATGTGGCTTCCCTGACGCCTTGGAGGGCGACGTGGATGACACAGCATCAGCCGTTCCCTCGCGGGGTGGGGACACGGTGGCGGTAGGCGTCTCCGCCATCCGCGGGCCCTCTCGGGCCGGCAGTCCCCGCTGGAGCATCAGCTGTGGGGCGTGGGGAAGGCAAGGCGGCCAACGTCGAGGCGCGTTGCGTGCTTGGTAGACGGAGAGCCGCCGCGGCGCGGCGCGGGGTGAGGAGCACGAACCTGGGAGGGAGTCGGCGTGGGGCTGGGGGCGGGGTGAAGCGCTGCCGCCGATCGCCGGCCCCATCCTAACTCGCCCCACCTGGATGCAGAGCGAGGACCGCGTGGGGCGGACACGGCGCGGGTGGGGCGCCCCTCCCAGCCCGAGAGGGGTGGCGGCGGGCCGGGGACCCCCCCACGGCCCCGCTGGGCACCCCCTCAGCCCTCCCAGGCGCCCCTCTCGGGCATCGCCGTCGCCCCGTCTCCTCCGTTAAAATAGTGAAACACCATGCAAAGTGATGGAAAGCGGGGGGCTGCTGGGGGCTCCAGGGGAGGGGGCGCGGTGGCTGGAGGTGGTGGCCGCCCGGCCCCTGGGGACAGCGCCCAAGCGGCGGCCGCCGAGCCCCTTCCCGGTGGGCGGCCCGGCTCTCCAGGGCCCCGGGCGCCTCCGGAGGTAGCAAAGCAAACTTGGGGCTGCGGTGGGGGTTGGGGTGGGGACGCCACCTCCATCCCTCCGGGGATGGCAGCCGCGGTCACCCCGCTAAGATCGGGGCGGCGGCGGTGGGGACAGGCGGGTACCGCCCCCCCCCCCCGCCGCGCAGCGGCCGCTCTGTAACACGTCCCCAGGAGACTCGCAGGAGCAACACGTGATGTGTCTACTTATCAGGGTGAGAGGGGGAGAGCGAGCTCCGGGCGTGCGGGCGAGGAAGCGGGGCGGGGGGCCGGGGCAGGGGCCGGGACGGCGGCTGGGGCGCTGGGGTCGCCAGCTCCTCGCCCACCTCCCTCCCAGTGGGAGCAGAGGAGGAGGGGAAGTGACTGCGGAGTTGATGAACTTTGCACATCCAGAAACGCCATTTTGATTCCTTTTCCGGAACAAGTTTGCATCTCTCCTTGTCCTCTCTCCGCAGCCCACCGGTCCCCACCGCATCATGCCTGGGAGCCAAGCGCCCCGCCGGGCCGTAAGTACGCGCCCCGGGCTCCGGCTCGCGGTCCTCGCTCGGGTGGCAGCGGGATGTCCGGGGCTCAGCCCGAGCGACCTTTTAAAGAACTTTTTTGGGGATGGGGAGGGTGAGGGCTGCAGAGCGCGTTGTACTTGGGAAACTCCGCGCCTCCGGGGCGCAGGATCCACAGCCCCACGCCGTGCGGCGTGCGCTCGGGGCGGCGGGGCCGGGGCGCCGGGAGGAGCGGGGCAGCCTCTCCCTCCGGCCGCGCGCCGCCGCTCCTCCTCCTCCTCCTCCTCCCCTTCCTCCGCTCCTTTCCCCTTCCCGAGCCACGGCTCTGCCAACCAGCTCCCGGCGCGAGCGGCCGCAGCGCCCCGCCAGCGGGACCTGATGCGCATCCATATTAGCCGTCCGAGCGCAGGAATCCGGCCCGACCCGCGCCGCCGAGTTTATTTTTAACCAGGACCGCGGGGCCTCGGATGGTGCGCGCACCGCCGGCCAGAAACATCTTCCCAGCGCTGCTCTCCATCTTCCGCCCTCTCTCCCCCGACATCCTCCCCCCCCATGTGGGAGGGGAAACTTTTCTCCTACATACTTTCGAGTCCCTCTCGGGCCGGGAAGCGCGGAGATGACGGCGCCCGCCAGCCCGCCGTCGCCAGCACCGCGAGGTATCCGGGGGTGCCGGCCGGGGCCGGGGGGTGCCCGCCGGGGGTGCGGGGCGTGGGGGTGCCACGGTCGGTGGGAGCATCCGCCGCGCCCTGCTCCTCGGACTTTGATCCTCCGGGGCGGACGGCGCCGGGCCGGAGGGGGCCTCGGGCTGCCCTGCGCCCCGGCCCGATCGCGGCGGGGGTCGCGTCGACCCTCGCCTCGGGGCGCGGAGAGAATGGAGGGGACCGGAGCCAATGGAGGGGACCGGAGCCGTGGCGACTCGTATTGTTCGAGGCTCTCTCGTCCGCAGGGTGCGCGTTTTCGTGGGGGGCCCTCGGCGTGGGGCGAGCCTGCATCGCGGGGGGGGGGTGCTCGGCGGCCGGCGCCGTCACGAGCACAGGAAGGAGGCCCGGAGCATCCGAGGCGGGGCGGCCGCCGGGCCCCTCCGCCGCCCAGCTGTGCAGCGCGCTCGCTCGGAAACTTTTGTCCGCCGCCCGCTGGACCAATTTTTTCGCGAGTTGTGGGGCTTAGCTTCCTCCTCTCATCCCGGCCCGCAGCGCCGAGCGGGTGGCTGGGGGGGAGGGTGCGGGGAGGCCGGGGCTGGCGGGGTGGGGAGGGGAAGGGAGGGGGACCCCCCCCGCGCGCTCGGCTCCCCGAGCCCCCTCCCCGCTCGCGGTCTCTTAGGAAACTGCGACCTTAACGGTTGCTAAGGAGCAGGGGAGGTCCTTCCAGTCGCCAGCCCCCTCCCTGGGAGCGGCGTGTTTTCTGGATGGGGGCCGGGGTCTTGGCCGAGATGGGACCCGCTTCCCCCCAGTCCACCCCACCCCGGCCGCGCGTGGGTTTCGGGGGGCGCGGGCCGGGCGCTTGACAGGCGCCGCGTACAGCTCGCGTCCCTCGTCCGCGGTGCATCCGTGATGGGTTATAAAAGAGGAGGAAAGTAGTTCTCCTTGCTCAGCAGATTTGCCCTCCCTCGCTCCTTACTGGTTAGGAGATAGAACGTGAGCCCAGATCCGGACGAGCAGTTCACATTCCATTACGAAATTCTACACGGCTGTAGAGCCAGTCCTAGCACACTTTTCGGGCGCTTTGGTGGGGGCTTTCTGCTTCTTTTGAAGGGTGCTAAGTGGTGCTGCTGGCGGTGGTGGTGGAGGGAAGGGTGAATAAAAAGTAGAATTTTTGGCATGCTGAAAAACCTGTCCTCTGTAGTTCTGTTCACCCTCGTCCTTACTTTAGAGTTTAGGTTTAAGCTGAGTCCTTTTAAAGCCAATGGAAAGAAAATTTGCCTGTTGGATAGGGATGCTGGAAATTGCGTGGTCACTCGAAGCAGAGTTCAAAAAGCTGTGCGAAGGCTGAATTGCTGGTGTGTGTCCCCGTTTCTGAGCTTCCCCCCCTTTTGGATAATGATCTGTGCATGTGTGTATTCCGAAATAAGTGAATTGAAGTAGAAGGTGGGGAATGGGAACGGCAGAGCAAAGACTGTTGTTTCACACTTGTGAAAAGCATCTTCTAGCTTTGGTGCTTTTTCGGGTAGGCAGGTATGGTTTCTCAGACATAATTAAACCCGGAAGTCGGACTTAAGAGGCTTGGCTAAAAAAAAAAAAAAAAAACACAAACAACTTAGGCTTCCTTCAAGAGTCCACAGAACTTTTGAAGGCATGGGTTTGAAATACTCTGCAAATAATATATGCAAAGGTGGACCACTAGTTTTAGCGTTTTTTAAAAATTTGGTGTTTTTTTTTTTACCTCTGCCCTTTGGAGGGAGCTTTCTGGGTACTGGCTGATGGGTCCTGCTTTGATGTGTTTTAAAGCTTTGGTTACAGTGATGAATTAAACATTTGAATGGCTTTAATCAAGTTTTAAATGTGTGAAAAAATAACCTACCCTGTTTTTACAAAAGAAAGGGAGAGGGGAGCTCTTTGATTTAATTGTTCCCCTTTCTCCATCTTAGGTTAATGAATTTTCAGTTTTATCATTCTTAAAAATACTGCTACACTTAAGTTGTCCTTTAGGCTGTTTTGTTTTTAGAGGATTTGCTTGGATACGTGATACTCAGATACTGCAGATGCTGACTGGTAGTACATGGAATATAATTCTCTGGATTTTCCTGGATACCACTTCCTTTCTCATGAGAAATTCAGGCTGGGCGCCCTCGTGGCAGATAAGTGTTTGTTGTGTAACGAGCACGCATCTGACTGTGCTGGTACAGGTGGTGCAGCCATTCCTAATCATCGACATCATCCACCAAGTGACCTTTTGATTGAAGGGTTTTTCATTTTAGATTCTCCAGGCAGACTCCTGAGGACTTACACAGGTACAGAATGTGGGAGGAGGAAAGTAAAATGTAACTTCATTAGTCCTGCATCTGATCAACAGCTGCCGACTGCTGTCAGCCGGGCACTAGCTAGCTTCTCCTAGGGGACTTTCATTTTTTACTCTTCAATGTGGAACTGCAACGTTGTTCCACTTCTAGGTCAGTTTGTAAGTTTTTATTTGCTATCATATGCTCACTTCTTAACATCTTTTCTCCTCATAAGCTAAGGAGATTTCTTAGCTAATGAAGTTGAAAAATTCTACTCTTGCCTGGTGTAATTAATATAAACTTAACTCCTTCAAAAATTGCTTAAACATGCTCTCCAGAAGCAGCCAGAAGTGAATCCTTTTGATGTTTCTATTCATTATCCTTCTGAAAAGTAGGTGGTGCTTAGAAGGTCATAGGATAAGGGTTGCTAAGCAGCTAAACAGAAGGATGCTAAAATTAACCAAAGCATTTTTGAAAGGGAGTCCTTCCCTTTTTACATTATTAACTAGGTTTAATTAATTTCTGAATCTTCCATGTTCTTTGACCTAGGGAAGGTAGGATGTGAAAGTTGATTTTAGTTTTGTAATTTTATTTAAACCTCTCTTTCTCTTGTAAGTCTCTTTAACTGAACTTCAGTGTTCTCTGGCCCGGCCCTGTGGTGTCAAATGGCAGCTTGTCTTGTCTGTTACCTGTGTGTTTAGGTTAAACCTTCCCAACCTTTCACATGTTAATAACAGATTTTGTTTTGTTTTGTTTTGGAAATTCTACCTAATCCATAAAGTGATGTCTTTATTCTTTATTCAGCAGATCTGCACTGAGAAGATAGAAACGCAATACAGAATCAATAGAAACTATGCAGGACAGTCTCTCTTGATAAGGGGACAATAGTTTTCTTTCCCCCTTCACTGAGATACCATTCTCTTAGATTAGGTCTCAGATGGCTCCTCTGTCACCCCCCACCCCGCTCAGTTTATCCTGCCCAGTGCATGGGTACCTTTTTAAAAACAACTGTATTTGCTTCAGAATATCTTCTGAAGGACTGGCCAAATGTTATAAAACAAAAAGAGTTGTGATTTGCATTACATTTTCAGTGAGAGAAAGGTTGGACTGTGGTGGAAGCCACGGTTTAACCACCCATCACCTTGGTTGGATAGTAGGGCCTGCTGTAGAATGAGAAGTTCCTCTGCCTAAAAGTCATTTGTTACATCTGACCCATCAGACAGGCCCCGTGGAGTCCTATTCCTCATATTCAAATGTAATTAAGAAAATGGTAAATAATTTCTTTCGGTTTCTTTTCTCTCTTGTTTACACTGAGAAAGTGATTTTTGAATAGAAATAGCCCAGGCCTCCAGAAAGCAAGAGAGTGATTGCCATGCCCTGGGCGGGGGGCTCCCCATAAATCAGAGGTAGAAGGTGCACCATCTGAAACCCAGAGGGAGGCACGCAATGTGCTTTCTGAAATGCATCACTTACTTTTAATTTCCCCACTCCCACATGGAAGGCAGACCACAGCGAGGAAGCAACCGCTGGTGTTTTCTTTACTGCCGAGGTAGAAGAATGAGGAAGGTGGGAGGAGCTTTGCCCAGTTAGCAGCCTCGTTGGGCGGTGCCGTCAGTCAAGCTTTACTCAGTTTCTCCGGGTGTCCCGCGTGGCTTGAAGGGCACCCGAGTGTGGCTGGCACTGACTCTGCCGCCTGCCGTCGGCCGCCGGGCCGGGGCGGGGAGGAGGAGGGAACTGTTCTTTCCGTCCCTGGTGCATCTTGCTCAGCATGGGTCTGCAGGGCAGGGCACAGGTTAGCCGGTCTGCCCGTCGGTAGGGGTGGCTGCTGGCCAGTGAGTGCCTCAGACAAAGCAGTGCGAGAGGGTGGAGACTGTTCTGTGTGATTCAAGCAAGTAATGCTAAGAGAATTTGAAAACCTCTGTGTAGGCCGGGAAGGACTCACTGCTCCTGAAGGGATTCACCTGAGGCTTGCAGGACTGCTTGAGGGCGGGGTGGAACTCACGGGGTGGAGAAAGAATGAAATCCCCCACTGGCTTTGTCAGACAGCCAGACTGGAGAGAAAAAGTCTCAG